CACACACACACACACACACACACACACACACACACACACACACACACACACTTTTCTCCTTCCCTTTTTCTTAGTTAATAGCCCTAATGTGCACCATAATAGGACTTAATCTTTATTAACGCCCACTCTCATCTTTTACATGTTACTGAGAACGGATTTATTCACGGTCAATTCAATAAAAATACGTTTGTAACTGCTTTTATATAGCGCATATCCACGCTCTACAACATATTCTGTGCGCTTTACAACTATTATTACCCCTGCAGACCCTCAGGGAATACTCTGCAACATTACCGGCTTCTCAGGAAGCATACAGGGTAAGCTGCAGATTTCACGGGCTCAGACACTAACAAACTGACAAGATCTTTTACTGTCTATAGCCGGGTACCCATTTTCACCTGGGTAAAGTGTAGGAAATTCGTGTTAAGTGCCTTTCCCAAGGACACAACGTCAGGTGCCTGACGGGATTCAAACCCTCGACTTTGCGGTTGCGAGTCCGAGAGCCTAACCACTAAGCCACCGACACCAAAATGGACTATGTACTTTCAAAAATAAATATTTTGAGAAAATGACAGAAAATTAGAGCGCCCAAATGAGAACCATGGCTGGATTTTCATTATTTTTCTATAATCAATAGGAAGGGAATAACAAAAGAAAAAGAAAGAACTGTATTAGATGGGATGCCTCTTAATGCTTTTATTTGAATATCAGCTTTATCTAATACACACAAATTAATAGCTCTGTTGGTATCAGGCTGAACTATGAACTATGGTGAGGATGACAATGGTTCAGACACCCGCTCCTCTTTAAATCCAGAAATGGGACGTATTTGAACTTTGGTTATTTTGGAAGCACCAAACAATCTACGCCCAGTTTGCCTAGCCCTTTCGGAAATGGTTGATAAATGTACATTCGGAGATCTCTTCTTTATACGCTATAACCTAACAGTTTAGTGTAGTGGCCATAATCCATACCATGCCATAACAATCTACTGGGCCCGCACTTGTTGATTGGTTTACTTTTTTGTTGTTGTTATAAGGCGGATGATTTATGCCTTCATTGTTACAATTTAGGTCTTTCGGGAGGCAGGTTTCGACCCTGTCTGTCATTGACCTATCGGACTGAGAGGGATACACGTTCTTAGCAGGAAGACCGAGATAAAAGATTTTCCCCACACGGGAGCCGAACTTACGTCTTTGCACGGCAAAGCGCCTAACTGCTACACCACAAACGCTGGTCGATTGGTATGTGATGTTGATCATTTGAAAGTGTCTACAGACGCTGGTGGCCTTTGGCTAGTTGAACGTGGGTGGTCACTTGGGTATGTCCTTGGGCAAGACCCATAAATTCTACTCCCCCTTTTCCCCACCCAACCCATCCCAAAATGAAAAAAAACCCAAACCCCAAACAAATCCCAAAAGTAGGAATAACGACCAACGACACAAACGTCAAGTATTTTTTTCAATCGTTATTTCAGAAAAGCGCTTAAGAATTGTCATTAGGAATTATATCCCTCTATTTTACTAAAGTAAAAAGTTTCGAAAAAGTCTAATAATTAAGGTGTACTTTTTCGTACCCCCCCCCCCCCCCCCACACACACACACATTTTCCCCCATATATTTCGTGACTTGACTGTGACAAAATTGAGGTCGGAAGCCTTTTGTAGTGCTGCTTTTACGTCATTGTACAGGCACTTGGAGCATCATTTCACACAGTTCCGGCGAATGGGCCTTCCAGGACCAGAGCCCTCTTTCCTCACTGGCAACCTCAGAGAAATAAGAGAAAAGGTAAGCCAGGCCCATTATTCCACTTGAGTAGAATATATCTCTTATTATTGCGCTACCTGAGAATTACCAGGTTCTTTATGACATTTTGGCCGTTTTGAGTAACTAAGACCATGATGTCAGAAAGCAAATTAAATGCTCTATCATCTCTATCAAAATCGTAAGAATAATATTAGGAGTCGATTTCAAGGTATTCAAAGAATTGCTTTCGAAAAAGCTTGGCATATTGCAAAATTCAAAAACTGTAACGTCAAGTTTCTCAAAACTTGATATTGAGAACATAGAGCTTTGTAATTCTGAGGTTGTGATTGCTTGTCCATTGAAATACAACAATTAACGTTTGATAATTTCTCTAAGCTTTGTAAATTTCTAGAGTGTTAATTTTTTGTTTCCCCATTCCCTCCATCAACTTTTACAGTAAAAACCAACAAAACTACCCCTTCCCTCCAAAATGACAATCAAATTTTAATGAACAAATGAACAAACAACAGCAACAGCAACAAGCAGCTGTTACTTCAGTCAGATTATACTGTAGCCTTTCTTTACTCGTTACCTGCTTCACGTCAGCATTATCCCCCTTCCAAAACAAAATACCAAACAACAAACCACTTCCCATAAAATCAAAACAAACAAACAAATAGACAGATAAACAAACAAAACAAACAAATACACAAACAAATAAGCAAATAAAAATAATAACAAACAACCATTACTCCAGTCACATTTGCAATTCTTTACTCGTTAACTCCTTCCTGTCAGCATCAACATGGTGTGTTATCTTGATTCTCATCTGAAGTGAAAAACAACCAAACGACCTCCTCCTTCCCCCCAAATGGCAAATAAACAAACAAACAACAACAACAACAGCAAACAAACCATTACTTCAGTCAGTCATACATGTATTGGCATATCTTTACCCGTCACCTGTTTGCTGTCAGCATACTCATGGGGAGCTACGTTTGTGCCCTCTCCCCCTCTTCTAAAGTTAAAAACAAAAAGCCTACCAAACAACCCTTTACCCCCAAACAATCACCAACAAACAAATAACAATAAACAAACGAGCAACAACAGCAATAGCAACAAACAACCTTTACTTTAGTGATACTCTTTCCTATCACAGCATATTCATTGAGTGTTACTTTTGTAACCAGCCCC